CCGTTCGAGGATACGTCCCTACCGTGATTGGAAGCCTGACGATCCCACTTGGATTATCGTGTGCCCGGAGAAGCCCATCAATGGTAAGGTAGCAGGGCGCCAGTCTGGATTTTGTACATTCATTCTCTTGAAACAATCACTGTAGATGATGTCGACCGCGCTACCATTTTCGACGTACACGCGACTTACCCCCACGTTACCTATGATGGCCTCAATAACCATGGCATCGCTGTGGGGGCATACGACGGGGACGACGTCACTATCGGTGAAGACAATTGCTTCGGTTCCTTTAAACCGCTTGTAACTTGGGTCTTGTGGTGGAGTTTTTGTTACTTGTCGAACAGAGGCCTTCAATGCCGTGGTTGAGAGGACTTCGAGAGGTGCTCCATAAATTGCTCCGACATTGTAGGTAATCTGCTTCGTGGGATCGAGAGGAGGTATTTGCTGTATTGGTTGCGGTTTGTTATTGAGAGCTGGTGGGGCAGGATATTGTGAGTTATCCCTCGGTTGCCAATTGTTTCCTCGGTTGTCTCTACGAGGCCCTCGATTATTGTTTCGCCTGGGGAAGTTGCGGGAAGCGCCGGGTTTCTCTCGAGAACTGCGGGTATCTCCTCGAGCGGTACCTTGTGTGCTCTGTACATATTGTTGGAATTTACCGGGCTTCACTCCTGCTTTAATTTCTCGCTTGAGCTCTCGACAATCCTCCGTGTCATGTCCGTGAGAAAGACTCCTGGGAATTTTTTAGCGTTTGTTCCCGTTGGATATAACTTTCTACCGTGGCCCACATCTCTTGGGTGTTCCGTGGAGGTTTAGTGGTTAACTTTACTCGGAGGGGGGCGGACTTCCCCTAGGGGTTGAGTCCTTGGATGAAGCTATTCCTTACGTCTCTGTCATCGAGATTGTCAATTTGGAGAGATTCACGGGTGAAGCGACGATGGAAATCTGAAAGGCTCTCATTGTGTCCTTGTCTTATGGAAGATAAGTCAATGGACATTTTTGTGACTTGCTTGCTGAGGAAAAACCTGGTGGCTTGTTTTACTGTGAGATCTTCAAAGCTATCAATACTTCCCTCTGGCAACTGTCTGAACCAACGTTGTGCCTGCCCATCGAGGAATGACGGTAAAGTCTTTGCCATGAAGTCTAGAGATGCGTTACGAATTCTCATGACTTGCACGTATTTATTGAGAAATCGCTGAGGATCAGAGTCCCCTGTGTAACAGGTGAAGTCTTTGGGGAAGTCAAAATCTTTAAGTTTCAAACAGTTTCAAATCCTGGGGATGAAAGGGCTCCTGTCAACGATCATTCCTATCATCCTCCGCATCGAGTCTCAAATCGAGGGATCCTGATTGCCCCGATTATCTTGATCCCGGGGAGGAGGGTCTTCTCCTCGACGATGGCCATGCCGCGATTTTTCCTGCGTCCCTTTTGATCCCAATCGAGAGTGGACATTTTTTTTCGGGGGTTCCCACTCTCTTTTAGACAATTCCTCGACATTAGGTGATTGTCGGCGATCTTGCCTGCGAAATTGTCTCTTCTGTTCGTGCTCCAGTGCAACTGCTGAATCATCTGATAAACTACTGGGTTTGTCCTTTCGAGTGCTTCCCAGAAAGTATCATCGGGGGTTTCAGAATGTTCAGCGCAGGAAATTTCTTGATAGGAAGTTTCTTTGCGAGTTCTTTCCTCCCCTTTGTTTGGAACCGGACGTTTGCCTCTTCTGGTCTCGAGGAGATTTAGGGTCCTCCTTGCTTCTTTTTCCTCAATTAACTCTTCCATCTCTTGTTTTGTTGGGTCAGGAAGACCTAACAAGCAGCAGCGTTTGTACTCCTCGAGGATATATTTCTTTTTCCTTTGGTTGAGGGAGTTATCATCCTTTAACTTTTTTAGTTCCGCTTTGATCTCGGCCAACCGATGTTTCTGGTATGGATCGGGGTTTTCGCGGTGACGATTCTAGTCGGTTGGTTTGACAGGAGTGGTTTCTTTTTTGGTTCGGCGATCATTCCTTTTCCGTTTCTGCCTCCATTGGAAGTGTGCCAGAGTTTCGCCGTCCTCGGGGCTTGTCTGTCTTCCGGTTGACGCAGCACTGAATTGGGGACTGTCGGCTTCCACCATCTTTCTTTCCACCGATCCTGTTCTGGAGGTGCTGGAAGCGGATTAAAAGGTTTTGAAAAAAGCTTGAGAAAGCTTAGTGACACAAACCCTAGTTTTCGGGTCCCACCGGGCGTGCTACTTGACGATACCTGGAATTGTACCGCCGGTGTAGGGTGAAACTCCGACTAGGGTTTCCTGCAAAACAGAGCCTCGGACGTCTCCCGAGGGTAGACACTCCGAAGCTTAAGTTAGAAAATAGGGTTATGTCTGTGTTGATATTATAGTCAAGATTGCGTATCTTTAATGTGGAATAAAGGTCCCTATTTATAGATTTAGGAGGAATTCGATTCCTACTAGGGTTAACAATAATAAACCGCCATATCGGGGCGGTCTTGACCCTAAGGCCAAGTAGTGGGCCGGCCTGTTGACGGTGATGGACCTGGACTCGTCATCTTCATACATTACAATGTAGAAACCAAGAAATGGGATTGTCTAAAGATTTGTGGGAGTAACTCCAAATGTGAAGCGGTTACATTTGTTCCGAGTTTTTTCTCATTCAGAGAAGCTCTGCGAGGAAATGTAGAAAGAGTGTTTAACATCCGCTCCTGGTAACTATGCTTTAATTTTATACACAATGCGACCTCATTCTCTACTTTTAAATTTGTTCTTGTTCATAGCGATCATGGTCAGAAGAAAATTTTGTTGCAGTTTTCTGAAATATAATCTCCGGAAACAGGTGTGGCAAGGTGAAATTACAAGAAGGTAAGAGGCTATAATACCTGAAGAAGATAAAGCAAATTTACCTTCTGACAGCTCGACATACTTCACTGATATTGAAGAATGGGATGGTGAAGATTGGGGCGCTATTGAGAATCAAGAACAGGACGTAGACTTTTAGATGAATGGTTTTGTAGGATGGTGGCTGCTTGCTAGTCCTTGGGAGGCTTTTGCTTGAAATCATCAGTCAGCTTTATGCTACTGCCCCTCAAGGATGTTGTTTTAGAGGTGTTTTTTCAGACTTCTTAATCACTTTGCGCTTCCAATCTTGCTGGCCTTGCTTTCAATATTTTAATTTTGTGGATGATGACTGCTTCTACAAAACGCATTACGGATTCATCAGATTTAGCAACATACTTTTTGGTTGTGTCCTTATTAGCCTTATCATTTAGTTGCGATTTGTCGACCATCTGAGTAATGGTATACTTGATTACATTAACACCTTCGTTTTTTGGGTAATCAGTTGAGTCTAAACTGGCTTTGGGACTTGCCTATGTAAAATATGTCTTCTTTGATTCACCAAACAAATAACCACACCTAAGAAAAAGAATAGCGGCTCGGGTTGTATGCGTGTGTGCAATAACTCTTCCAATAGTAAAATGATGGCATGTCAGCCTGTAGGTGATGATGAGATTCCTTGCTTTTACCACCAAATCTCTTCAATCTTCATTTCTGTTACTCCAAGCTTATGCTTTGGCAGTTCTGTAACTTTATGATGGCAGCTTCATTTTTATTCTGTTTTTTTGACAAACTTTTTAAGACCTAAAGTCTTCCAGAATTTTCAGTACGTGTGCTGCTGTAGTTCCTTTTCTAAGCAGCAGCAAGCTCGTTCTTGATTGTGTAAATTGCAACTTAGCAAAATGAGAGCTTAAGATCAGCCGGCGCCAACGCTTACAAACGCACTGGCAAACCATAATTGCCTTCAGAGGCAGGTTTAGCAAGATATCTTAGTTAAAATATCATGTGGAAGATATCTTAACTAGATATCTAGCAAAACATCATATGGAAGGAAAGCTGAAATTCCCATAGTTCCCTCTACTTTCAGCATCAATTACAAAGAAACAAATCACTGATCTTTTTCCGATTCAAATTTTCCCGATGCACTTTATTCACTTGACTTGGCCATATCGGATTCCAAGGAAAACCCAATGTACAATTGAAAAAACTCTCAAGCACACTCATATGCGGGGTGATTTAAATTCGATAATATATGAACCAACTGAATACTGTAAAGACCAGAATTGATCCAGCAGTCTAAGCTTCGAATCCTCATATTTAAGTCTTCCATAATCTCGCGCCATGAATTATTCCTTAAACTATACACATATTTTTCAGGCAGCAATGGTGTTCACAAGCATCACTTCCGCAAGAAAATCTCCAGATGCTCTTTGATGAACTGCGGGCCTGAGATTACGTAAAACCATGATCTTGAAACCTACTTGAATCCCCCACAAGGGTCTAGCTAGCTGCACTTTATTGAAAGAATTTCAACAATGAGTTCCTCAGAAAATTTTGGGTTTGATTCGGAACAGAGGAATTAAATTCACTCTCACGGCCATTGATTTAGTCTCGACTCTTGATTTAAGATTGTGAAAGGTCAATTTTCATCTTTGAAAGGGCATCTTGAATTTATGGAACCCTACAAATTGACTCCACTACATATAATTGCTCACACAAAGATCAAGCGGCGGACCCTAATTCCGAAAAACATGTCAGGAAAGGCACTTCAATTTATGCCATCGCAAAAACAGAGGAAAACAGGGTAAAAAAAAAATTTCAGTTCCGATCAACCGCCTGCAGACGTATGTTATCCAATAATTTAACAGCTGTATTTGACCGTTGATTCACTGCCAATATTGATTTAACGACCGTGGATCACTTTTCTAATCCAATTCGGAAATAGAAAAGAAGTCGCCAAATAGTGTAGTATTTGGCAATTACCAAAAAAGCAAACACCATTCCAATTCGTATTAGGAAATAAAGATTGCCCCAAATGCTTCGATTATAAATACCAAGCGGGTATTGCATCAATTCTTATTTCGGATCCATTGTTTCCTAAAACAAGAGTTTCTATCAATCGAGATTTCTGAGTGATTCAACAAAATTACTTTGAAAAATTCGATCATCAATTAACAATGGGCATCGTTCTAAAGTTCAAGAAGAAGGGTCCGGTTGGAAGCTTTCGGAAGCATCCAAGGAAGAACAGGCATCCACTTAGGGCAATTACTAACTCCTTTTTAGATGAGTTTCGCTATGGTTCTTCTTCCCCTGGTCAAGTAAATAAACTCAGAGACAGCAACAAAGAACTCTATGAGTTAATAGCTATAGTTCCAAAACCCGATTCACTTGTCCAACAAGTAAAGGCAGCAGAAACATCGATGTCCAAACCTGCGGTATCTCCTAACGTTGGAACTTGTTCCTCAAGTAATGCTTTGAAGAAAGTTGGCGGAAACAAATTCAAGATCATCATGAAGAAAAAGAAGGAGATGGTTGCCGCGTAGATTTTGATGAAATTCAAGATTCTATTGAAGTCAAAAAGATGGAGAAATCTTTGATGAAAATTCAGTGTTGACGGAGGTTTATTGATTTGTTTTTGCTTGATTAGTTGCTACTTCGAACGTAACATGCTGTTCATTAAGTAGATCTATTACACTTTTCTGTTGGTCACTGAGGATTATTGAATTTGTGAACAAATTAACCAGAGTTAATCAAAGTTCGTTCTTTTTCTTCTTCACCTAATCTTATTTTGTTCATGTCCATCTTTATTATTATTATAACTTTGACACCACACACAAAACATCCTCGGGCGGGTTATAATTAGTTTGCTTTTCGTTCTATTACTTCTTTATTTATGGAGAACTTCAGAAACCTCGATATTAAATACTGTTGGGCCCGGTGTTCCCCTCAGTTGGGGCAACAAAAAGAGAATTAAAACCAAGCCTAGTTGGGCTTTGGTTTTGACCAACGGAAACAAAATCCTTTTGGGTTTGGTTTTGATTTGGCTTGACCTTGGGCTATAAAAACCAAGATCCCTTTGTGCTTTTAGAAGTGTGTTTTCTAGCCAAGAAGAGAAGAAAAGTTTGGGCAGCCGTGCATTATTTTTGTACTAGAAAAAAAGAAAGAAAGTTAGGGTGTAGTTTTCGGTTTAGCTCTCTTTTGGTGAAATCCTTCCAATCCTACTTTGTGATTTAGGTGTGTGTAGAAGAGTATTATTGTAATCTACCTTCGGATGAAGTCATGTATATCCACCGGTTGGTGAAGGTTGTTTCCTATTATTGTGATAGTAGAGATTTGACTGTTGTTACAGTCCCGTGGTTTTTTCCGATTTGGGTTTCCACGTAAATTCGTGTGCTTCCTTTATTTTATCAATTCTTGAAGTATTTTACTTGTTTGGTTGTCCTATTTTATTGGTAGTAGGAAAGGAGTTTTTCTTGGGAATTGTTTCCGCTGGTTTGTTGTGTTTATATCCTTTCCGCCACAACAGTGGCATCAGAGCTACGGTTCGGTAGTTGAGGTGTTACACCAATAAAATGGAAGAATCATCGGGTGCTGGTACGATAATTAAATTGACTTCATCTAATTGTCATATGTCGAAGCCTAGAATGGAAGACTTGTTGTATTGCAAAGATTTGTTTGATCCTGTTCTAATGGATGAAGGTAGGCCAAGTGATATGACTGATAAAAAGTGGGCTGATATGCATAGGAAGACTATTTGTAATATTCGACAGTGGATTGATAAAAGTGTGTTTTATCACTTTTTGGGAGAAACAAAAGCTGATGAAGTTTGGGAGAAAATCCAGAATATGTACTGGAAGAAGTCCAGCATCAATAAGTCATCTGGGCTGAAATAGATTACCAGGTTGAGCTACAAAGATGGTGCTAGCATGAATGAGCACTTGAGTTCGTTTCAGGGTTTGTTGAACCAGACAGTGAATGTAGGTTTAAAGTTGGATGATGAGGTGCAGGTTTTGTTAGTGTTTAGTTCTCTTCCAGACAGTTAGGACACTTTGGTAGTGTCAATTAGTAATTCAACCCAGGATGGTGTCTAGCATGACCTTGGATCAGGTCAAAAAGGCTTTGATGAATGAAGAAATCGGAAGAAAAGAGCAGAGTATTGAGTTTGAGTCGCAGGCTCTAGTGACAGAAAAGTCAGATAAAAGAGGGAGAAGTAAAAGCAGAGGGCCACGTGATCGGAATGACAAGTCCAGAGAATGGTCTAAATCCAAGAAAGATGTCATGTGATACTATTGTCAAGGGAAGGGGCACTTTAAGAGGGAGTGCAGGGTTCTCAAGAGAGAACTGGCAGCGAGAAAAGCTAAAGGCAAGAAAGATGAATCAAGTGATGATGATACTACTGCAGTAGTAACTACCAGTGATCACTGTGATGATGATACAATTAATGTTGCGAGTCACGACAGTCATTGGTATGGTGATTCAGGTGCGTCTTATCATGTGACGCCTCACAGACACTTCTTTACCTCTTACACACCTGGAGTTTTTGGCCGTGTAAGAATGGGCAATCAAGCCTCATGCAATGTTGTCGGCATGGGGGAGGTATCATTGGTAACGAATACATGTTGTACTCTTGTCTTGAAGAATGTCAGACATGTTCCCGATATGCGTATGAACCTTATTTCCATTGGAAAACTTGATCATGAGGGTTATCATAACACTGAAGGTAGTGGCCGTTGGAAAATTACCAGAGGGAATTTTGTTATTACTAGAGGAAAGAAGTTGAACTCTTTGTATGTGTTCAACGCAAAGTTTAATAATGGAGAGGAGAATGCAACTCACAATGTCTCCATTAATCTCTGTCATAGAATGTTTGGACACATAAGTGCCAAGGAGCTGCAGATTCTTGGTAAGAAGTAATTTCTCCCTGAGGTGAATGGTACTGCTCTAGAACCTTGTGTTGACTGTATCTATGACAAACATCATAGGGTTTCCTTTCAAAATTTTCCGCCATCTAGAAAATCTAGTCCTCTAGAGTTTGTTTATACAGATGTATGTTACATGAAAGATAGGTCGTTGGGTGGTACATTGTACTTTGTTACTCTCATTGATGACTATGCTCGAAAGGTTTGGTGTTTTTCTTTGAAATCTAAATACCAGGTATTAGATGTGTTCAAAGACTTTCACCTAAGAGTTAAAAGAGAGACTGACAAGAAGTTGAAGTGTGTTCAAACAGATAATGGTGGTGAGTACAGGGGTCCGTTTGAGAGGTATTGCCGAGACCATAGTATTAAACTCCAGAAGAGTGTTCCGAAGACTCCGCAACATAATGGCGTGGCAGAAAGAATGAACAGAACAATTACCGAAAAGGTTAGGTGTATGCTCTCGAATGCAAAGCTGCCTAAATCATTTTGGGGTGAAGCCATGCAAATAGCAGTTGATTTGATCAACCTATCTCCGTCAGTTCCGTTGGATGGTGATCTACCACAACGAGTTTGGGCAGGGGAAGATGTCTCATTTGGACATTTACGAGTTTTTGGTTGCCGTTCCTTTGTTCATATTCCCAAAGACGAAAGCTCGGAGCTTGATGGAAAATACAAACAGTGTATATTCTTGGGGTATGTCAATGATGATTTTGGGTACAGACTTTGGGATCCTATAGAGAAGAAAGTTTTCAGAAGCAGACAGAAGGAGAATTAAAACCAAGCCTAGTTAGGCTTTGGTTTTGACCGAGGGAAACAAAACCCTTTTGGGTTTGGTTTTGATTTGGCTTGACCGTGGGCTATAAAAGCCAAGGTCTCTTTGTGCTTTTAGAAGTGTGTTTTCCAACCAAGAAGAAAAGAAAAGTTTGGGCAGCCGTGCATTGTTTTTGTACGAGAGAAAAAGAAAGAAAGCTAGGGTTTAGTTTTCGGTTTAGCTCTCTTTTGGTGAGATCCTTCCAATCCTACTTTGTGGTTTAGGTGTCTGTGGAAGAGTATTATTGTAATCCACCTTTGGGTAAAGTTCTGTGTATCCACCGGTTGGTGAAGGTTATTTCCCATTATTGTGATAGTGAAGATTTCATTGTTGTTAGAGTCCTGTGGTTTTTCTCAATTTGGATTTCCACGTAAATTCGTGTGCCTCCTTTATTTTATCAGTTCTTGATTATTTTACTTGTTTGGTTGTCCTATTTGATTGGTAGTAGGAAAGGAGTTTTTCTTGATAATCATTTCCGCTGGTTTGTTGTGTTTATACCCTTTCCGCCACAACAGATACAACGATAAATATAGATATAAAATTTGTCAACTACCTGATCTGAAAATAATCAGGAAAATGTGTTCTACCCATTGTCCATCAAAACTCCAAATTGCAATGAATTTTATAGAATTGAAGAATTTTCTATAGTTCTCTATTACCTTAAGAATCGCGTGCTGGTTTATTAATAACCAAATTGCAGCTAATTTGTTAGCAATTCTAGTGGCATCTAGTTTTGGTGGTTCGCAATGGTTAGAGGAAGCTCCTAGAGTGTTTTTTTTTTGAGAAGGTACCTGTATATTAAGAAAAGATACCTATACTATTACAACGCATTCTATTATATGCTAGATTATGCAATTTTACAACATCTTGTCTACTCACTTTACTCAGTGTACATGACTGAAAAGAAGAAATAGTGCTATTTAATAAAGAGACCACCTCCTGGGCCTCCGAAGGTATATCAGGGGATCGCAAATCTCAAGTAAGAGCTTCACAATCCGTATATACCATAAGACTAGTGATACCCAAATTTGCTGCTTCCTTCAAAGCCAGAAGACATGTCATTGCCTCTGACTGAAAAGGAGAAAGCACATTTAGATCCACCGTTTTGATTTGTATCACCATCCCATGTGGTGAAATTATCTTCCATGCTCCAGCTGCATCCCTTGATTGGTGACTGAATGAACCATCAAATATGACTAAAGCATCCATTGGACTCCTATTAAGGTGTTGTTGATTGGAAGATCTTCTAGCTGTGATTGGAAGGTGTTGGGAAGTTTGCCTTGTGAAGAACTGCCTGTAAAAAAGACCATGAAACTCGATCATAAGCTTTACTCATGTCAAGTTTGATAGCTGCCAATCCATGAGCACCCTTTTGCTTCCTTATACACTCAATGACCTCATGAGCTATAAGAATATTCTCACTGATGTTTTTCCCAGGCACAAATCCATTTTGATGCTCATCAATAAGATCATTCATCACCTGTTTAAGAAGATTCGTTATCATCTTTGTAATGATCTTATACATGACATTGCATAAACTAATGGGGCGGAAATCATTTGGAGTTGTTGGTGAAGCTGTCTTAGGTATGAGAACCAAATGAGTTTGATTCCACTCCGGAGGGAAGGACATGGTATTAAAAGCTTCAAGAATGGATGTTTGAACTTCTGAACCAATAATGTCCTTGTAATAATGATAGAAACCTGCGGGCATGCCATCCGGCCCTGGAGATTTCCAGGGAGACATTTGCTTAACTGCAGACCATACTTCCGCTTTTGTGAATGGAGCATCTAAATAAGCAACTTGATCAGTGGATATGGATTCCTCTACAATATCAAGAAGACTGGTGAAGAATGAGGAGGTCTGCGAGTTTAGAGAACTGGACTCCACTGACATATATACTAGAAAAATGACTCTGGAGCAGTGAACTAATTTGGGCATGATCTTGAATCCACACTCCTTGGTCATCACAAAGCTCATTGATCCATTTGTTACCTTTTCTCCTAGCAGCCCATTGGTTAAAGAATTTTGTGCTTTTGTCACCAAATTAGGACCAATTCAGTTTTGATCTTTGGTGCCAATAATCATGCTGCAGTGGAAGGGCTTCCTCCAATTCTCTCCGATGATTTTCCAAACGTGAGCTTAGCTGCGCATCAGACTTGTTTCCTTCCCATTGCAATTGAACTTGAGACAACTTCTCAGATAATTTAAAAACAAGATTGTCCAAATTACCATACCTCATTTTACTCCACTTATGCAATTGAGACAGTGTTCTATCAAGTTTGAAAGAGAGACTGTCCTGAGAATGCTCAATCTGCAATGATGGGTGCATCCAAGCTTGAAAAACCATATCCTTGGAAGTCGGACAATTGGACCAAAACTGCTCGATTTCTGCTTCCTCTTATGGGTATGCCTTTGCTTGAGTTGTACGATAATTGGACCATGATCAGAGCTCATAATTGGCAGATTTCGAATGACAGCTTTGCTAAAAGTATTGAGCCATGTCTTGGTAACAAAAGCGCGATCTAGCCTTTCGAAGATTGTCTCATTTCCCTGTCTCTTGTTTGTCCAAGTATACCAACATCCCAAATGTTTCAACTCCTCCAGGTCATTTGAAGAAAGAAGTTGTTGAATGCTTCTAGTATCTGGGGGCCTAACTTGACAACCACCAAATTTGTCTTCTTGATCGACTATTTGATTAAAATCTCCTAGTAGAATACTAGGATAACTCGAACCTTGGATGATCCCATTAATCTGTGACCAAAATTCAGGCCTCCCTTGTTGAGAAGGAGGACCATACAGAAACAAGGCCAACCATTCCAGACCATGAACTTCACTAATTTTTGCTACTATTACATTAGAATTATGAAAAAGCACATTTAACTGAATTCCTTCTACCCAAAGAGTCCCAACCCACCACTTAATCCTACTGGATCTATAACAAGAGAATTTTTAAAAACAGATGACTGCTGTCAAGATGAAACATTAGCCTTAGTAGCTTTAGTTTCCATAAGAAACAAAATACTAGGTTTATATTGCCTAACTAACTACCTACTAAATGCTTAGATGAGGCATTATTCATACCCCTACAATTCCAAGAAAGAATACTCATTGAAACAAAGGCAGTTGATCTGGTTCAACCGCCGCAAAACACTTCAGAATGTTAGAAAAATTACCTGTCTCCTGGGTACTCTTTAAGTTGGTAGAAGAAGCTGCTGAGATCGCCACATTGGTGTAATCTGATGCTGCAATTCCTTTCGGCTAAGCGAGTAGGAAGCTGCTAAAAGGTCCACCTGAAAATGGGTGCTTTGGCTAAAAAATGGGATAGAAAAAGGAGTAGAGAGATCTATAATTTTTATTTTTTTTTGGTAAAGAAAAATGTCGAGATCGGATTCTCAAAATCCGACCTACTAATTAAATTAGTAGTTCGGATTTTAAGAATCCGATTTAATAAAATAACAATTTTTATTTCCGGAAAATATATATGAGAAAAATGTATTGAAAGTCAAATAAAGAACAGTCAAAGGTCGGATTTTAGGAATCCGACCTTGTTTATTTTCATAAAAAAATACAGGTGGGAGATTTGAAAATTAAGAACAGTACAACATCGGATTTACAAAATCCGATCATATTTAAGCATACCTAACAGTAGGTATCGGCATTGAATGGACGTTATTAGCTGGCAGAAGATCGGATTCTAGAAATCCGGCCTTACATGTAAATCGGATTTTCTAAATCCGATTTTATAAGTAAAATCGGATTTTAGAAATCCGACTTTATTGTGTTATAATGGGGCGACGGAAAACACTGTTCACATATCGGGATTTTTGGTAAAGTAGGCTATTTCTTGAAGGAGGAGGTGATTTTAGTGGCGATTTGAAGATTTTGTTCACGATTCTTCGCAACGGATATCTTAAAACCATTTCATAAGAAGGTTAGTTAATGTTTTGATGTATTTAGAATTATTTTTGTTATTTTCTGTGTAAAAGTTTAGAACTAGGATGATTTATAAGGTTTTAGGGTTGATGTTGGGTGTAGTTGATGATTGTTGTTGTATACGTGGTATTGAACGTTCAATTTAGTAAAATGCTTGAATTTGGCCTAAACTTTTGAATTTGTAGGGGGTTTAGTAAATTTAGTGTTGATTATGCCTTGTTTGTGGTAATTGTTATAATAAGTTGTTTGATAATGCCTTGTTTGTGTCATTTTTTTTAATAATTTGTTCATGATGTGTTGTAATTCATTAATCAATAGATATAAATGGCGTTTAACGGTCCATATTTCATTAATGTCTATTGGTCGAGCAAATTTGTAGTGAAAAATGGGATTGTGAATAGTTTTAACAACATGCCGGACGATTCCTTTGTGATTGATCATAAGTTATTGTACAATGATTTGGTTGGACTGATTTGTGAAAGAGTGGGGTGGAATAGAAAGAATGTGAATTTGAGTCTATCGATTTTGTATGATACGATGCGCAATGGTTTTAGGCGTATCGCCAAAAATCAAGGACGACGCATCGTTGCAAGTGTTGTATTTCCTCCCAAGTTCGACATATATTGATTTATATGTAGATTTGGAGGTGGCGGGTACTTCTAGGTCCCATTTGGAAGTAGGGACAAGTAGTGGTAGACCGAATGTGGAGAATGTCGATTATATGGAAGATGATGATGTGGGTGGACCGTTTATGGAGGATGGCGATCACATGGAATATGATCACGGTGAAGATGATGAGGACTACACATCGATAAGTGATCAAAGCGATGAAAACCAATCAATATCCGAAGGAAGTCGGGAGAGTGATGAAGAGGTCGAAGACAAATTCGCCACAAAGGATAGGCACATATATCGTTCACAGGGTACGTGGGATCATACAAAAGTGGACAAGGATGATTTTCAACTTACCATGTGGGATGGGACAACCGCAACAATTGGGATAGGGACTTGTTTCAAGAATAAGGAAGAAGCAAAAAATGGTATTGCAGCGTGGAACATAGAGCAAAAGAGAGAGTTTTATGTGAAGGAAAGTGATGGTTCAACATGGTCTATTTGGTGCAAATCCCTAAAAGAGTCAACCCTAAGGGTTATGTTCCTTGCCGTTGGAAGGTACGTGCCTCCTTGAGAGATCACGGTTTGTGGGAGATAGTGAAATGGGTGCCCGAGCACAATTGTATGAATGTCACCGAGGATAACAATAATCGGAATGTGAGCGCAACGCTTATTGCGCATCTCATAAGGCATAAGGTTGAGTTGGACCCAGATTATGAAGTGAAGCTAGTTCAGGAAGAAGTGAAAGACCGTATGCATGTCGATGTTCCTTACCACAGGGCATGGGAGGGAAGGAGAAAAGCTATCGATCTTGTTTACGGCGACTGGGTTTCCAATTTTGACATACTTCCAAGGTATTTACTTAAGTCCTATCTAATTTTTTTGATTTGTTTGTAATTTAGGAATAAAATAAGGATTAATTTTTTTATTTTAATTTAGATTTTTCGCCGCCCTAGAGAAGAGCAACCCCGGCACAGTTGTAGAGTGGGAATGGCAACCGGGTTGGACCGATATAGAGAGGACGTTCAAATACATTTTTTGGGCATTCAAGCCTGCAATTGATTGTTTTGCTAAATGTCCTCCGGTGATTAGTATCGACGGGACGCACTTGCGCGGCGGATACAAAGGTAAATTACTTGCTGCAATGGTCAAAACTGCGAATAAGCGCATCCTGCCAATTGCATATGCGATCGTGGATGAAGAGAGTGAGGAAAGTTGGTCATTCTTCTTGAAGCATTTGAGGAATCATGTTATATCTGACCGGCCTGTGTGTGTTATATCCGATCGGCACAAGGGTATCATTAGTGCAATACGCCTAATGCCCGAATGGAATGCATACCACCGGTTTTGCCTTCGTCACGTCCGTAGTAACTTGGTGGCGCAGTTTCGAAGTAAAAAGATCAAAGGTTGTGTTGGGAGATGGGCACGAAACTTTCTAAGTCTAAATTCAAAGAACTAAGGAATGAGCTACGTGATTTTAGCAATGATTCTTATTTGTATCTCGAGGAGATTGATGCTTGTCAGTGGACTCTTGCCAAAGACAAACACTATCGTTGGGGTAACCAGACAACGAACATTTCTGAGAGCTACAACAACGTCCTCAAGGGCGTTCGTTTCTTGCCAATCCGGGCTTTGGTGGAAGCTACTTTTATTAAGACTGTGGATTTGTTCCAGGAAGAATACGTGAAGTAGAGGAAATGTATTAGTCCGGTCCCAACTGACTTGTGGGAAGACTTCAAGAAAAAAGAAAAGAAAACCGCGCAACACAAAGTCAACCGTTATGGTGCTATTAATGGCAAGTTCAAGGTGAAAAGTAGAGCCCGACTTGGTGGTAAAGGGGATAACACGTACACTGTGAAATATGAAGAGAAGAAGTGTTCTTGCAAGAAGTGGCAAGAGTATAGGTTCCCTTGTACACATGCACTAGCTGTGTGTCGGAAGATAAAAGATCAACCAATCAATACGGTGAATCCATATTTCAGGGTTGTTGCTTGGCAAGACCAATTCAGTGGGCGCGATGACTTTTCCCCGGTCGCTGATATGAGAAGATGGCCTAAGGTTGGATGGAGACTCGTTCCTAACTACGAGCGAGTTATTATGCATGCTGGACCCGGTCGTTGGCAAAAGAAGAGATTTAAAATGCAAATGGATTATAGGGGACGCAAATCGAGGGGTGAATGTTTGAGATGTGGCTCAAGGAATCATTTCACCATTGCGTGCCCAAAATCACACAAGAATCATTTAAGAAATCCGACCTTCAACTTGTTTTAAGAATAAATCGGATTTTAAGAATCCGACCTTAGCTTACACGGATTCTCAAAATCCGATTTAAGCTTACCCGGATTTATGAAATCCGGCCTTAATGTAAAATCGGATTTTAAAAATCCGACTTCGGTCAAAATTTTATTTCAAAAAAAAAACTAAGTGTTTTTCGGAAAATATATTATTTTAATATATTAGGGTCGGATTTTAGAAATCCGATTTTCTCTTAATCTTGATTAATTTCATTAACTTTTCGTATTTAGCGTAGGTCGGATTTGCCAAATCCGATTTAGGTCAAAAATCGGATTTTAGGAATCCGATATCGGTATTTTTCTTTTCCCCAAAATTCGACTTATATTTATCTCTACTCCTTTTTTTGAACCATTTTTTAACTCAAAAACTCACCTGAAAATGCCTCCTTGGTGTGCTCTGGGTCGGCATGTCCAATCCAACCAAAGGCATCTATCTTCCTCCTCTCCATTTTCCTCTGTTTTCCACTTGTTGTTGAAGCATGTGACAGCATGAACCTTGGAAGGAAGACTAATATTTAACCTGTCCTTGTTAACTGTTGGTAATTTGCCCAATTTTTCCAACCAGCTCATGCCGGTTTTTTTGAATGTAACTTGCCCAACTGACTTAAAAACCTTTCTTCCTTGCCACCATTTGTTTACATCAGACATGATCACGCTATTCACATGTCGGCCTGGAGTTCCATGTAACTTTCTTGTGTCCTTCATCCTGCTCAATGGTGATAATGAAGAAAATAAAGATGGTCCTGACGAGAGGATTTCCTTCAATGCTATCACATAGTCCAACTCTGTATAAATTCCAAGTAGAGAAGGCTGGTTTTGCCTCGTCAAAATAGCTTCTTTCGTCCAACTTTGGATAACTTTTTCACATTTTCGTTAACCATGATGCAGTCCACCAAACTAACCTGTTCTTCATATGCTATAGACATTGATCCTGGTAGTACAAGGAGAGATATATCATTTCCAATAGAAGCTTCTGATGAATTAGGAGTGACTATTGGCTTCCATTCCATTCGGCCGCCCGGTACAGTAGCAGTACCATTATGTGAAGACGATTTGCCACGTCTCTTCTTTCGGTGATTAGCTTCCTTCCGGCCACCTCTGTTTTGAGCCCCCATATCTTGAGCTGAGTCTAAGCTCAAATTTATGATAATGGTGGACACCCCATTGGTCATGGATGTGTCCACAGATTGCTGAATACCCTTTAAATGGCATTTGAGCGATTCCCCTGTGACAATAGCTTTCGGAATAGCAGTACCCAAAGCTCGAATTTGCAAAGAACAATTAGACTGGAGGAAATGCTTAGCCCAAGCTATATATCTGCTGATCTTGCCTTTAGCAGAAATTATCAATACTTCCATAAGACGTCGGCAATTTGAATTCTCCAAGAAAGCAATTTTGATGGCAACGTTGCTGGATTCAAGGGAATGCAGCATCCGACGAAACGATAGTGCCAAGATGCTATTACAAAGAGCTAACCCAGATCTCTGCCTTTACTTCACTTGTTTTTAAGACAATCAGATAATGAATAAAGTGATACTGCTCTACAATTTGGAGGACTAACACCAATATGGGTAGAAGGATGAATTTCAAGCTTCGATTATTTCCGAAAGAAATCATTGAAGTAAATAGAAGCTTGCAATTTTTGGAATTCGAAGGATGCTCCAATCATTGAAGAAGCTGGATTAGGTAGATTTCAATGGATGAAGGAATTGGGATTCATTGGATCCTCCGATCGAAGAGGAGGCAGAGTGCAGATTTGGGGGAAACGGCGGAACTTTTGGGGGCGCATGATGGGCACGTTGGTAGAGTTAGTGAGGACATCTGCAGGTTGCACACAGATCGTAGAGTGTTAAATTTATGGCCAGAACATGATATAGTTGGTGTTTCCTATTAATGACATGTAATAATCTAGACATTAAGCCATACGCCTCTTTACTTGTACCAAAAGGAAAAAAAATTTTAAAATTTGCAACAATGCATTTTAATAACAAATAAAAATATCATACATTTTAATCCACAACAAACCAAATCCCTTTAGAGGATGGTAACCAAGAGGTCCAAGATAAACGAAGGAGAAAGTAAAATAATTTTGTATTCACTCAGGGAGGAAATAGAAATAAAACGTAGCAACAATGATGCTACACACCCGACCACATAATTATGGAGTCAAACTCCAGAACTTTTATTTTTATATTTTAAACAAAAATGAAGCCAATAAAGATTTCGAAGGAAAAAATAAAACTTTTTCAAGACAAAATCTCGTTCAATTAAGCCCCTCTATATATGATAATTATGAGCGAAAGTTATGAGGTAGGAAGGTGATTGTTGAAGAGGATGATACAAGCAGTTGTATCATGATTCAAGGTTGTAAGGATATTTTAATTATGGAATTCGAGAATTACAAAAGCTAAAGTGGATGATTGAAATCAAACATATCTTTTGGGAGTCCAAGTTTATAGCTGATAACTTAACTTTATTAGTAGCCAAAGGTTGGCAGGTCTGTAATAGATGGAGGCTCTACTATTCGGGATCAAAACGTGATTAGAGTATGATGTGATAGGAATAATATACATACGCAATGTTTTGATTTAAACAATTAAAGTGACAGCTCTCTTATTACAAATAAAAAAGCATATAAACTCATGCCCTGCGAGCTACAATCTCTAATAAGTGTCAGATAGTCAAATTGCTGCAATTTAGATGAAGGAATCCGGTTTACGTATCACATACATTCCAAAGAAAGATTTTGAGAAAATAAAAGAAATCCTTCAGACGTTATGATGGCTATGAAGTTATAAGAATAAAGAAAAAAAAATATTGGGATCATTTTGCCTGGACCAGATCGATAGAATACCGATACCTCATTTACTTCTGACAAAAAAATATGAAATAGATAAGTTGTTCACTATATTAGAAGAAATTATAGCAAGAAAATGCTAGCTCTATGTATGGAGAAATGCTGCTAGCCGTCCAAGCGACTACATACACGAATTCATTAGCTTTTCTGAATTGATTAAATAAGGCATTTTTGTAAAGTGCATTGTACTGCTTAAGCATAACCAAACATATCTACCATCCCTTGTCCAGTCATTACACAAAAATTTTTTGTGTTTGTTTGAATATAAGCATTCTGATGATGTTGATGCTGATCAAAAGAACCCGACAACATAAACTCATGCCACTTATAAATAACTGAAAGAAAATGATGATGATGACTCTCAATTAATAAGACCAATGAAATAAATAGTTTCTCCTATTCTTTTGAGCAAGTACTTGTTCATTTTATTAATGTATGCGCCTTTTAAAAGATTACCTAAAGAACCAACCTAACAAATAATAACAAATAATTAATTTAACGTAGTGTTCATTTAGCTTTATATAAGAAAGAATTTAAGTTATGCTAAATCTTTATATTCTATTCCATTAATCACCAAAATGAGTTGACATCTGCCATATCATAAATAAAAATATTTAACAGAACGTGTTCATTAGCTTATCTAAATTTAATAAGAATTGCTCATTTATGTTAATTGTACTTTTTCCGGTGCTGTTTATAGTTTTTGATAAGATAAACTAACCCTATCATCTAAATTCAACTTAGAAGGATTAGAAAAATCATGCCTTAGTGCAAATTAAAAGTTGAGCGATTACTGAGTAGATATCGTGCAAAGCACGTTTATTTTTTCATATTTTTTAAAAATATTCTTTTCTGACATTTTCTTTTCAACTAATCCTCAATAAAATAAAAGAACATCATGGCCTTGCTAGCCTTTGAGTTTAACTACTCAAAAAGTGCATGGTTGGGTTATGCATTGGTTTCTCTCAAAAATTACATCTCGTTAAGATAGTTTAATCAATAGACTTTTTTCTATTGAGTAAATGCAAATGCTATTGTGCTCAATGATTATAGTTATATTCAACATGCGATACTAGGACAAAACCAATGTCATATCCAGTATGAAGATAGCAAGATCTTTTAAATTCTCAAGAATTAGCTTCATTTCATGAAAACTACAATAAAATTTAGAAGTTAAGCAACTGTTGTGGATATGTACTCTCGTTATCAGATCATCAAGGAAACCATTAAAGGTGAAATCTCTGAGATAGCAAGAGAGTCTCGGAGAGACTCACAGGCCTTCAGGTTATCTAATAATCGAATGTAACACATAACAACGAGCCTTAGCATATATGGAGAAGGCTTTTCAACAAGTTTGTTAACCATAGCTCCAATAATAAAATAAAGGAAGAAAGTGAACAACAGAATTTTTTTGGAAATCTAAGGAACACAAAAATATTGAAACTAGAGAAAACTTTGTCGTTGAATGCATAAAAGCGAAATCCAGAAACTCAAGACAGAGATTGCCAAGAGATGGACATCAAGAGTTCCAGTTACTTGGACCCATCTATATACTATACAAAGTTTGTTGTAGTAAGAATAAAGATGGATAACATAACTTAAATTAAGAATAGTTTATCTTGTAGTCATTTGATTTGATTTTTCTGTATATAGTTTTGCTTCAAAGAAAACGAAAACAGTTACTTTTGATTTTTTTTCATTAATCCTATTATGAAAATATGCACATCGCATTACTCCCATTGTGCTTTTCTTTTTCATCAATATCGTTAGAGTCATTTACATTAAATTTAGTTCTAGATTCGATACAGGGCAATTATTTCATGATAATAACATACAGAAAAGGAAAAGAACTTCTAACAATTTGACCACTTACTGCATGCTAATTACAATAACGAAATTGACCTGACGATCGCCACATATTGATTTATCCCTTTCCAAGTTTTTTCAAAATTTCAAATACTAGTTATACTGGTAGAAAGGGTTTTGATCTAATGGTGTCTGGATTGGTATATATATAATTCTTTTTGTCCTTAAAAATATTTATATACTCAATTTGTATAAACTTTTTACCACAATTAATTACCGAGCAAATGTCGTGCGAAGGGTAGCGAAAAAATTTTGCTGCTTTGTTTTATTGCTTTTATTGATTTTTTTTGTTGGTACAAATGTAAATATATTGATGATTGCTTAACTTGATAGTGCATATTTGCAACCACAACCTACAACTATTATACATATCTCGGTCTATCCATCATAAAACTGTACACGTTTAAATTTTAGAACAAATGTTCTGGCAGATTTTTGTCACTTTCTTTTTCCTATTTCTTCCCAAACAGTGCTCTAAGCTCCATAGTATCTCCTGGTTCATCCTTTAACAAGCTCCTCAATTGTTCTTCTTCTATCCGTATGGATCCTTACATTCCTTTCCTCCCAAATTTGGTACTCCCTCCGGTCCTTAATATAAGGCAATTTGATTTGACCTAAGTTTCATCTCGTACATATTTTTAACTGACAAAAAAACCTTAAAAATATTTCCTAACAATGAAGAAAATATAACAAATGTGAAAATATATTTTTCAGGTTTTTTTATCAATCGAAAATGCATACTAGGTGAAATCTAAGACAAAATCAAAATGTCTTATATTAAAGACCGGAGGGAGTATATAATGGCCACCATTGCAGCATACATAATTTTCCTCTTAAGCTTTGTTTTCTGTCAAATAACCAGCATTCACTTTATCCACTGCAATTGTGAAGCGGGCAAAGTGGCAACTTGTAACCAATTTATCATTGTTACCACCAAACAGAGGAATGTTGACAATCAAAAAAGAGGTGCTTAGATGTTTCCATCGGGCCTTGACACAATAAGCACTCTTAGTCATACCCCAAGGAATCCCATTTTGCTTAATTTGTTTCGAGAAGAGCCTGACAATGAATGAATGCTTGGGAACATTTAACTTAGACAAAACAAATTGAGCAACTAGAATTTTATCAGAAATAATATGTCAAACAACAGAAAATTACAAATAGATCATCCTATCCAAATAAAAATAGCACGGAGCTAGTTCCTACATATTTTTCATCACCTTTCAACCGCGCATGCTCAAATTTTACCACATATCCCATGTCAAGCAGAGAGAACTATAATGAGAATCAACGTGAAGATAACAGCTAACACGATCAACTTGACTTTCATGTTCTTCAGCCACATTTTCCATCTAATCTCTCTTCCAACATTTCTGAAATCCTTAGTCTGATGATGAAGGTTGTCAGTCTTGCCTACTAGAATTTCAATCTTTTCGCCTCAATCCAGAACCTTCTAAATATTCTCCATCATAACCGCTTTAACTTCCGAAACCTGAGCTTCCACTTTCGTGTTTTCCAATATCCTTCGTATGTTCAACACTATATTTCATGTGTTCTTTCAACTTAGGGCCAAATGCTTTGTTCCCATACTTTGAAACAAAGTCATCCTTAATACGCTCCAGGAAAGTTATTGGGAACTGTCTTCCCGTTGATTCTTGGGCTAGCACATAAAAAATACTTTGAATTTACGATATCACCCTTATAATTTCA